CAAGATGGCAGAAGATTTGACTTCCAATGGACCTTGATCCTCATTATACAGTCATTGTAATACATTAGGATGTCAAGTGACACATCCACAGGTGCCATGACAGTTCTGAGACCAACTGTAAGAGGCCCCAAAGTGGGCCCAATTCCTAGAAATCCCCCCCTTCCCTGAAATAGTTGGAATAATCCTCTCACTCATTAGCCTGTGAAATTACCCAACCCATAAAAACCAATCATGCTGTATTTTGCCTTCTGAGATGGTCCACACCTTGTCTGTGAAGTCTGTTTCTTTCTGAGTAAGCCCACTTCTTACATATCAGGTTGTGTCTCACTGAATTTGTCCTGTGACAAGACATCAAGAACCTGAACTTCATTAGAGTGTGTGATCTCAATTAAAGGACCATGGGGAACTTTTCTGGTGGTCCAGTGGTTGAGAATCTGCCTGCCAATCCAGGGGCCATGGGTTCAATCTCTGGTCCAAAAAGACTTCACATGCTGCAAGGCAGTTAAGCCAGTGCACCACAACTACTGGGCCTGTGTTCTAGAACCCTTGAACTGCAACAGCTGAAGCCTGCGCACCCTAGAGCCTGTGCTCCGAAATGAGAAGCCACCACAATGAGAAGCCTGCACACTGCAATGAAAAGTAGCCCCTAACTTGCTGAAACCAGAGAAAGCCCATGCACAGCGATGAAGACCCAGCACAGTCAAAATAAAAGTAAATAAGTAACTAAAAGAAAAAAGACCGTGGGTTCAAGTCCCAATCTAACTTGCAGGTTTTCAGCTGGCGAGCCATGAAGGGACAGTGATAAGGTAAGAAAAGGTTGAGAATTAGGGGTTGGTCCTAGATGGGCTTGTGGGACACCACAAGCCAGATGTACCAGGGAGGATGCTCCGCTGATGTGTACCCATTTTTATGACTGGTCAACCCAGAATGCTTTGGGGCTCTGATGCAGAACCTAAGTCTAGACTAGAGGAATGATGGCAATTGACATGGTTTATTATAGAAAGATGGTGTGGAGAATGGCTATGCTTATGCACATCCAACAGCAGGTCTAGGACAGAAATGTTGCAGAGGTCTTGATAATTTACACTGTTCTTCTGACTCTGAACTTTTCCTTCTGTGTTCATTCCTATTCCATTTCTTTCTTTTCTTTTCTTAACCCCAGAAAACTGGTGTGGTTACCAAGATGTACTTCCTGTTGACAAGGCATGTGTGTTAAGTTGCTTCAGTTATGTCTGACTTTTTGCGACTCCATGGACTATAGCCCAGGCTCCTCTGCCCATGGTATTCTCCAGGCAAGAATACTGGAGTGGTTTGCCATGCCCACCTCCAGGCAATCTTCTGGACCTAGGGATCGAATCCGCGTCTCTTATGTCTCCTGTTTTGGCAGGTGGGTTCTTTACCACTGGCGCCACCTGGGAAGCCCTGTGTTGACAAGTGCTGACCCTTTATTTCCAACTTGCAACTAGGTCAACTCCTGCTGATCATCCACACTGTGTGATACCTTCTGTACCATTCCTTTGCAACAACTTTTTGGGCACTAACATCTGGTTGGGAGACTACCTTGGAAGGGATAACATCTAAAATCATAAGTGCCTGGTGGATTTTTTCTTTTTTGCCACACCACACAGCTTGCAGGATCTTAGTGCCCCAACCAGGGACTGAAGCTGCACCCCCTACATTGGAAGTGCAGAATCCTGACTACTAGACTGCTAGGGAAGGAAATGGTGAATTTTGACAGCAGAATGAAACCTATAGATAGCACAGGAGTTAGCCACATCACCTGAGGTTTGGGTCTGAAACGGGTCAGGCTGTATCAATCCTGTCCCCCCTGGGCCATATACTCTGGGATGGGATTGGGAAAAATTAAGACAACAGGAATTAAAACAGAAAAAAATTACTAGCTTATGTAATCTGATTTGGCCACAATGCGAGTTAGGATATTTAAATGGAGTGAGATGTTCAAATTTTGTATCGTGGCAATGGAAGCCAAAATGAATTTAAGGCATGTGTAGCTCAGAGGTGTAACTTTAGGAAGGACACACAGGACATGTTAACTGACCCAGCCTACAGGGTCAGGATCCCACACACATGAGGCTCCCTCCTCCCTGACGTACAAAACCTTTTGGCTATGAATTTCATAGCCCACTGTGCCCCAGACATTAGGCACAAAATTCAGAAAACAACTGCTGATCCTCAGACTCCTGATGAATGACTTCTTCCAATTGGCCTAGTTGTTTTTCAGCAATAGGGATATGGCTGAAAAGACTGAACACACCCAGAGAAATATGCAAAAGGTCCAGATGATGGCAGTGGTTTTGATCACTCAAAGGCCAACAAAGGGGAAACTGGTTTTACTGGACCAATTTGATCCGTGCAGACCATTAGTCCCATGGGTACCTGGATAGGACCAGTGTACCCTGTGTGGATAAAAGGGGCACTGGAGGGAGGATGGCCATAAACACACCCTTTAGGGCATTGGAAGAGGGAATGCCCCAGACATCAGAGAGCCATGGGGGCCCCTTGGCCATTGAGGGTTTTGCAATCAGAAGACTGAGGGGGCCCAAGGCCAAAAGTGACTCTGCCTAGAGATACCATCTACATAACTAATGCCTTGCCTCAGGTGGTCATTGATGTAGCAGGCTACTTGATAGAATATAAATACTAGTGCTATTAGGGGAGCCACTGACTAAAGCTGTCTGCCGGGCTGGACACAACATTAACCACTTGCATGAGTTATCTTACAACAGGAGGTCCTGGTAAAGAACCTAGAACTAACAAGCTACCACCAACCAGAAGATTCAGGAAAGGTCAAAAGGAGAGAGGAGACACTAGTCCATATGCCCTACCAGTTTCCCAGAATCTTCTCACTGGATCCTCTTGGCTGAGCAATTTGTGTGCTACCAGGAATGACCCTGAGTCAGAATGACTGGCCAGAGACAACCCAGAAACTAAAACCATCACCATAAAACCCAAGACTGTGAGCCTTGTGGCAAAGCAGTTCTCCTGGATTCCCTTACCCTGCAGCTCTCTGTCTGGGGACACTTCCCAATAAAATCTCTTGCTTTGTCAGTACGTGCGTCTCCTTAGACAATTTCTGAGTGTTCTACAAGAGTTCACACAGGGGCCCTAGAAGGGATTCCCTTTCCTGTAACAGTGCAACATTTTCAGTCTTAACCTGAAGAATTGGAAACCTTAGCAATCATAAGGAGTGAGGGGGTGTCAGGGAAGAGGCAGGGGTGCACTTTCCTGGAATGCCTTATGTGCAACATCAGTGGCGAATGGTTTCTACATTCCTTGCTGTTTATGCCTGAATGTCGCATCCCTTTAAAGGGAAGAGGTTTATTAACTCAGTTAGGACCCACTCTGCTTCTTGATGGGCAAGAGAACCGCCCTCATCATCTAATGATTCTAACAGAAGGTGGAAAGGAAGAAATTCTGAAGCTAAAGTAGAAGCCTTAGTAGACCTTAGAACGTGGAATATCAAGGTTCTTGTTCAGTTGTTCAGTTGTGTCTGACTCTTTGAGACCCCATGGACTGCAGCACGCCAGCCTTCCCTATCCTTCACCATCTCCCAGAGTTTGCTATATTCTTTATAGCAAAAAAAAAAGACAGAGAAAAAGAATGAAGGAAAAAGGAAAGTAATTGTGGGGGTGAGGTGGGGCTGGAATCACATGTTACAGTTAATTATCATGCTCAGGGTCATTTGATCTAGAAAAGTACCTCATCCTTTGTCTTTCATGACTTTGACGTTTTTGAAGAGTATAGGATACTTTTCTTGTAGAACCTCTTTTGTTTTGACTTGTCTGATGTTTTCTTGTGTTTAGATTTATGAATACCTTCCAAAATTTCAGGACTGTGGCTTTTTTCTGGACTGTTTTAACATTCCAGGTCTATGATCTCTCCTCTATATGTGTAAATAAGAAATCTGTAATGAGTTTAGGGAATTCAATATTTTAAGAAAATCACTTCATTCAACATTCAGGCTGGCTATGACTTATAAAGTGATGTATCCTCCTCAATGCATCATATCTGAGCATATAATGTGTGCTTTTCCTGTTACTGGTGGTGTTAATTTTGATTACTTGTTTAAGGTAATGGTTGTCAGGTTTCTCCACTGTAAATGTGCCATTTCCTCCATTTGCTATTAATAAAAATACTTCGTGGGAGAGATACTTTGAGACTATGCAAATAAGGCTGCCAGACAGATAAAATACAGGAAGCCCAGTTTAATCTGAATTTCCGATAACAGATAAATACTGTTTTTTGTTTTGTTCTTTTACTCTGCTGGATCTTTGTTGTTAGGCGAGGGCTTTCTCTAGTTGAGGTGAGCTGGGGGTTACTCTCTAATTGCGTTGGCTTCTCTTCTTGCAGAGCCAGCAGGCTTTTGTAGTTGCTCTGCACGAACTTAGTTGTCCTGCCATACATGGGATCTTAGTTCCTGGACCATGGATAGAACCCTGGTACCCTGCATGGAAGGCGGACTCTTAACCAGTGTACCACCAGGGAAGTCGCCAGATGAAAACTTTTTTGGTAAAGTATGACTTGTCTTCCCAAGTTTAATTGGGCATCTTGTATTTTTGTTTGCAAGATCTAGCAAAACTATATGTAAATCACTTGTTCCTCATCCAACTTCAATCAGTTGTTTTGACATTCATTGAGTCTCAATTTTTACTATGATTTTGCCAAACAGTTGTTTTCTAACTGCACCTTTCTTCTACATATACTAGCTGCTATTCCGTCTTCCTATCTTTCTATCCACTCTTAACAGCGTCTGGCACACAGTAGGCACTCAAGATATTTGCTCAATGAATGAATGACTTGGCCGGGCTTCCCTGACAACGTTTGGCAGGGGCTTGCGTTGCTCAGCCAGTTTAGGCAAGCTCTCCGGCCTTCAGAATCTCGCAGGGGCTTCTCCGAGGTAAAGGAAGACAACGATTGGCTCCTTCAGCTCCAGCGGCCCAACAGACCGCAAGTGGAGAGCGGCAGGGACCAATGGGTGCCGGCAGGAGGCGAGGCCTGCCACGCTGCAGCGGTGTAACCGTGCGGCCAGCGCGCGTATCTTTCCCCGCGCTGACGATGTCTGCAGCGTCCTTTATAACCACTTTGGTCACCCGACTGCTCCGGTCCGCGCAGAGTGGCCGCCTCCATCAACGCTCTTTCCACCTCTCGGCAGTGCGGTAAGAGGGTCGGCGGGCTGGGTCAGCGCGGAAAACCGAGGGGAGCTGAGCGCCGGCCCGCCTCGGGACTTGCAGCCCGCCTGGAGTTGGTCAGTGCCAGATCGAGGAAACTGAGGTGGTGAACACCCGGGAAGAGAAGAGGGAAAGCTCTGTTTGAGTTTTCTTAGGGACATTTTAAATATTTCATAATATTTCTGATATTTCACAAATTCCCATTCTAAACATAGATTGAAGAGTTTTGGGGGGAGGGAGAGATGTGATTTCAGTTCCCTAAATCTATGCACCCTCTTTCCTTTCAGTCTTTAGAGCTTATTTGTAACAGCAGCCCCTTTTCCCAGGTACTGTGCTAGGCTGTGCATTATTCAGAGATGGTAAAAAACGGTTCTTTCTTTAGTGGAACTTCCCTACGTGTCAAGGGGCAGAACAGTGTGTAATTTCCAATCAGTGTAAATATGCTATTAGAGATTTTTTTTTCCAATGGAGCACAGAATGGGGATTAATGCATTAAAAGAAATATTATTTGAGACTTCCCTGGTGGTACAGTGGATAAAAATCCACCTGCCAATGCAGGAACATAGGTTGGATCCCTGATCAGGAAAGATTCCACATGCTGTGGGGCAACTGAGCACGTGTCCACAACTACTGAGCCTGCCAGCTGCAATTACTGAAGCCTGCAAGCCCTAGAGCCGGTGCTCTCTGGCCACCTGTGCTCCCGGGGCCACAGAGAAACCCCCACATTAAGAAACCTGCACTTGGCAAGAAAGAGTAGCCCCTACTTGCCATAACTAGAGAAAGCCCTCAGGCAACAGCAAAGACCCAGCGCAACCAAAAATTTAGTTAATTAACATAAAAATATTAATTTATTTGGCCATACTGGGTCTTAGTTGTGGCAAGTGGGATTTAGTTCCCTGATCAGGGATGGAACTGACCCCCTGCATGGGGAGGTCAGAGTTCTAGCCACTGGACCAGCAGGGAAGTCTCTAATCCATTGTTGAAAGATTTCTGGGGAGACGTTCAAGGATTTTCTTAGTCTGACCCTGATCTGCCTTTCCAGCCCCATCTTTTATTACTCTCTGTTCTCCTCCCTCTTCCTCCCTTCCTGAGTTCTGGCCACATGTGGTTCCATGATTGAAAAGAGATTTATAAGGAGCTTCCAATTTGTAATCTAAAGAACTGGAACAGTTTGCTCACACTGTCTAGTAACCAGTGTCCTCCTTTCACTTTTCTGGATGAATAGGTTTCCACATCTCTGAAGGCAGTAAGTACATTTATTATTCAGGGTTCTGATGTATTGCTTTGATTACTGCTAGTTGCTAAAATTAAAACATCTTTTTAAAAATATAGGTCTGCATGTATTCCTTTAGGTGGGTGGGGGTAGTGTGAGAGTTTTCATGGTTAGAGAGAGAGTGTTGTAGACTGTGGGGTATAGAAAAAATAAAAAGAACTTTGGAGGCAGAAGTTTGTGTTTGAATTTTGTTACTATTGTTTCAGTTTCTTGTTCTGTATAGTAGGCTTATTATAATAGTCCCAAGTAACTGAGAGTAATGTATGTAAAACTCTAACTGAAATGTCTGCTGCTGCTGCTACATCACTTCAGTTGTGTCCGACTCTGTGTGATCCCATAGACGGCAGCCCACCAGGCTCCCCCATCCCTGGGATTCTCCAGGCAAGAACACTGGAGTGGGTTGCCATTTCCTTCTCCAATGTGTGAAAGTGAAAAGTGAAAGTGAAGTCGCTCAGTCGTGTCCGACTCTTAGCGACCCCATGGACCACAGCCTACCAGTCTCCTCCATCCGTGGGATTTTCCAGGCCAGAGTACTGGAGTGGGGTGCCATTGCCTTCTCTGAACTGAAACGTCTAGTGTTTAATAAATGTAGAGTTCCATCTCCCTTTGTGTCTTTGTTCACTCATTACTGACTAATTAGTAGTAGATAACAGAACTCTTTCCAAAATAAGTCATGATCGTGAATTGTAAATTATATCTGATATTAATTTTTCATGGAAAATCTAGTACTGTAATCTATTGAATTAGGAAAGTGAAGATGCTACTGATGGATTTTGGTTTTTAATTTTATTTGGACAGTCTTTTCTAGTTTGTTGATTCATAATTTTAAGGGAAATTTTTCTAAACACATCTGTGAAAGCACTTCTAAATAAGTGTTAGCTAATATGGTTAATACATTTTGGATTCCCTGTGGGACTAATTCAGTCTCCATTTCCATTTATTCTGCGGTAGCAGTAACTTTATCTGCCCTTCGGCAAAAAAAGTAAAAAAGTTGGGAAATTAGGTAATGATGCCCTCATAAGGCTGTGTTTCACATTTGGCAGAGTTGTGGTCCGAGGAGGAGGGCTAAAACAATTATATTATGAACAGTACTTATTTATTGCATTGAGGCTTTGTTTTGGTTCTTGTTACTGTTTGACTTTTTTTTAAAGCAAATTGGCATAACATCCAGAACTTGCCTCTGAAACTTGGAACAGTGGTTTCTCCCAGAACCCTGTGTCCTTCGCTTTATTATATCATGCTTAGTCCAAATGTGCTGCTACCATTTTCTCTTAAGTTTACTGCTTTCAAAACGAACTTTTTAATGAAGTGAAATCTAACTTCACTCAATATTTTTATAGATCCTTATTAGTATATAAATAAATAAATATACCTATTGTATTGTTAAAGATGTGTCTCTGGAAATCTAACCAACAGAAGAGAGTTCGAAATTAATTTTTAGTTACTATATATGCTTAGCACTTTATATCTTATTTCATTCGACATAAATTACTGTCCTAAGCCCTTTAAAACTAATCTTTCACTGTATTTCTGTCCCAGGACAGGTATTTTCGATATTATCATAGATCAAGAATGTTGCGTACTTTATCAGCAAAGCCCTTTTGAAGAAGTTCCCTTCAACCCTAAATCTGAAATGGATTTATAAATATTAATGTGTTTTCTTTAATTTCCTTAATATACCATGAATATATATGAAATGCTGTTATATATTTTACACAATACTAGTATTATCACATAAAATCTTGGTAAAAGCATTTGGTTTGCTATGAAATTGTGGTATCTTTAAAAAATGTTTATTTATTTAATTGATTTATTTATTTTCCAGTTCTTAGTTGCTACATGTGGAATCTTAGTATGGCACGCAAACTCTTAGTTGTGGCATGTGGGATCTAGTTCCCTGACCAGGGATTGAACCTGGGGCCCCTGCATTGGGAGTGTGGGGTCCTTTTAGCCACAGAACCACCAGGGAAGTCCATTGATATCATCTTAATATCTCAAAAGATGGAAATACAGATTAATATAAGGTTTAGATATAAAATGACTGCATTACATCTAAGCCACTGAGACTTGGTTTAAAGTAGGTGTTTAATCACGATGCAACTTAAAAGCAGGCATTGAAGACTTCGAGACTGTTAGAGCTTTAACATTTTTAATTAACAGTGGCCTGGCGAATTAATTATATCTGACCATACAAAATATCCAGTACCCTGATGTCATCCCTGAGTACTAAATATGTGCTGTTTAAAAAAAAAATCTGCATTATAAGGGGAAGTAGATTGTTCCAGTGTTTCAAAGAATCATATTCTTAATTAGTGTTGAGTTGTAGCATTCCTTATGACACTGGGGACAAAAATCTGAAGGGAAAGTCTTGTTTTCAGTGGGGGTCCTTTTTCTTAAGGTATACCTTCTTGTCCTACTTGAAGTAATGTGAACTTTACTGTACAGATATATGTGGAAATAAGAAAGCCAGGAATCTTCCACACTGGAACCCAGGAAGAGCTGCATAATCAGGTGTTATTAGGGAGAGATAGGCTTTCAGAGATTTGAACATATTTTGAGGCACTACAGGTTCTTCTAGATCTGAGTTGTCTCATTGTCTGTCCCCCAACAAGCAGTTTCTCATCCCTGTGATTCTAGTGTGTGAATGTAGATCAGAGAGAGGCTCTTACTGATCTAGTTCCCTACCACTACTCCTGACGCATAAGCTTTTGCACTAACTAGACTGCAGGCCAGCCTAGAAATTGTTGTTCTGGACATCAGATACTCACTCCTTGTGTGTCAGCTGTGGATGGGGTATTGAGGTCTTGTGGTAGAGCACACTGCCATCTATGAGATGGATTTGCCCTAGTCCCCATTCCAATCCCTATTCTTTTTAAAAATATTAGTTAATTTTTGGTTGTGCTGGGTCTTCCTTGCTATGCGTTGGCTTTCTCTAGCTGCTGCAGGCGGGAGCTACTCTTCGTCACGGTGCACAGGCTTCTACTGCGTGGCTCCTCTTGCTGCAGAACACGGGCTGTAGGTGTGCGGGCTTCTGTAGGGGCAGCTCACAGGCCATGGCGCGATGGCTTCCTGACTGTGCCACATAGGCTTAGCTGCACTGAGGTATGTGGGATNACCCAAGAAAATAAAAGTCTGTCACTGCTTCCATTGTTTCCCCATCTATTTGCCATGAAGTGATGGGACTGGATGCCATTTTTTGAATGTTGAGCTTTAAGCCAGCTTTTTCACTCTGTACTTTCATTTTCATTAAGAGGTTCTTTAGTTCCTCTTCACTTTCTGCCATAAGGGTGGTGTCATCTGCGTATCTGAGGTTATTGACATTTTTTCCGGCAATCTTGTTTCCAGCCTGTGCTTCATCCAACTTGTCATTTTGCACGATGTCCTCTGTATATGAGTTAAATGAGCAGGGTGACAATATACAGCCTTGCTGTCCTCCTTTCCCTATTTGGAACCAGTCCATTATTCCATGTCTGGTTCTACTTGTTGCTTCTTGACCTGCATACAGATTTCTCAGGAGGCAAGTCAGGTGGTCTGGTGTTCTTATCTCTTTAAGAATTTTCCACAGTTTGTAGTGATCCACACAGTCAAAGGCTTTAGTGTATGTAGTCAATGAAGCAGAAATAGATGTTTTTCTGGAATTCCCTTGCTTTCTCTGTGATCCAACAAATGTTGGCAATTTGATCTCTGGTCCTTCTGCCTTTTCTAAACCCAGCTTGTACCTCTGGAAGTTCTCAGTTCACATACTGCTGAAGCCTAGCTTGAAGGATTTTGAGCGTTACCTTGCTAGCATGTGAAATGAGTGCAATTGTATGGTAGTTTGAACATTCTTTGGCATTGCCCTTCTTTGAGATTGGAATGAAAACGACTTTTTCCAGTCCTGTGGCCACTCCTGAGTTTTCCAAGTTTGCTGACATATTGAGCGTAGCACTTTATCCAGGTCATTAAGCCCTTTTTTCTGTTTAGTTCTTCTGTGTGTACTTGCCACCTCTTCTTCATCTCTTCTGCTTCTGTTGAGTCCCTTACTCTTTTCTGACCTTTGTATTTTCCATCCTGCATGAAATGTTCACTTAATATCTCCAATTTTCTTGAATAGCTCTCTAGTCTTTCCCATTCTATTAATTTCCTCTATTTCTTTGCATTGTTCACTTAAGACTTTCTTATCTCTCTTTGCTATTCTCTGGAACTCTGTATTCAGTTGGGTATATCTTTCCCTTTCTCCCTTGCTTTTTGCTTCTCTTCTTTCCTCAGCTATTTGTAAAGCCTCCTCAGACAACCACTTTGCCTTCTTGCGTTTCTTTTTCTTTGGGATGGTTTTGATCATTGCCTCCTGTGCAATGTTAAACCTCCATCTATAGTTCTTTAGGCACCCTGTCTACCAGGTCTAATCCCTTGAATCTATTTGTCACCTCCATTGTAAGGGTTTTGATTTAGGTCATACCTGGATGGCCTAGTGGTTTTCCCGATTTTCTTCAATTTTAGCCTGAAATTTTGCCGTCGGTATTGTCCAGTATATTGTTTATTGGTTTAACTGCATAACATCATTTAAATATTTAAAAGTACTTATAAATTAAAAGCCAATTCACTAACTGGGAAATGATTCGAAACATGTGACTAGATGCTAACACAGGCAAAATATAAACTACAAATGGCATATAAGCATAGAGAACAAACTAACATCATAGTGGTGAGAGATCAAATAAAACATTGCAAATTAACATTTTTTTTTTTTTTTTTTCTACAGTTGTCAGACATCAGTAGGCAGGATGATATAGCATTAAGAACCTAGACTCTGGATTCAGAAGAGCTAAACACCTAGCTTATGTCAAGTAGTAGTTATCAGTTACTTAAATTCTCTGAGTTTAAATTAATGGTAGTAATTATTTCAATCAAATTTATTTTCTTAAATATGTAGTAGCTGGACACAGATTTACCTCTTGAACCTCTCCTTCAGATTTCATTTGTCCCTTGATTAGGAACTATGTAGTCTTATCTAAACTTTTAGTTTGGGAAAGTTTTTTTTTCCAGTTTTACTCAGAAGTAATTGACATACATCACATCTTTAGTAACTCAGTGATGAAGAATCCACCTGCAATACAGGAGACGCATGTTTGATCCCTGGGTCAGGAAGATCCCCTGGAGAAGGAAATGGCAACCCACTCCAGTATTCTGCCTAGGAAATCCCATGAACAGAGGAGCCTGGTGGGCTACAGTCCGTGGGGTCTCAGAAAAGTCGGACATGACTTAGCAGCTTAACAACAATGATTGACGTACATCTCTGTGTAAGTTTAAGGTATACTGCACGATGGTGTGATTTACATACATTGTGAAATGATTACCACGATAGGTTTAGTTAAAATTCATCATTTCATATATACATATGTTTTTAAAAAATATTTATTTAATCTTTGGCTGTGCTGGGTCTGTGTTCCTGCACGCATTCTGTCTCTAGTTTTGGCGAGCCGGGCTGCTCTCTCCTTGTGGTGCTCCAGCTTATCACTGCGGTGGCTTTTGTCTTGTGGCCCGTGGGCTCAGTTGCCCTGTGGCATGTGGGATCTTCTGGACCAGGGATCAAACCTGTGTCCCCTGCGTTGCAAGGCGTATTCTTCTCCACTGGTCACCAGAGAAACCCTCATGTAGATATTGTTACAAAAATAAAAAACGTTCTCCTTGTGATGAGGACTCTTAGGATCGCTTACTTTAGCAAGTTTTCTATATATTATACAGCAATGTTAACTAAAGTCTTCACTGTATATAGTACATTATGTCCCTAGTGCTTATTAACCTCATAACTAGAAGTTTGTACAGTCATCCTTCAGTATATGAGTAGGATTGTTTCAGGAACCCCAAGGATACCAAAATTGCCAGCTGCTCTAAGCCCCTTATATAAAATGGCATGGTATTTGTATACAACCTATCTTCCCATATACTTTAAATCATCTCTAGATTATTTATTTATAATACCTAATGCCATGTACATGCTGTGTAGATAGTTGTAAATACAATGTAAATGCTATGTAAATAGTTGCTAGCAAATTCTTGTTTTGCTTTTTGGAATTTCCTTCCAAGTATTTTCAACCCATGGTTGGTGAATCCTTGAATGGGGAACCAATAAATAGAAGGGCCCATTGTGCCTTTTGACCATCTTCTTCCAATTCCTCCTCCCCTTCTACCCAAAGTTTTTGGTATTTAATGACACTTTTGTAGTCTTTATTTATTCTTTACAAAAATTCAAGCTATTTTTTTTTGTGATCCTATTGCCTTCTGCAGAAATGAAGCTGTTGTCATTTCTGGAAGGAAACTTGCTGAGCAGATCAAGCAGGAAGTGCGGCAGGAGGTGGACGAGTGGGTGGCGTCTGGCAACAAACGGCCACACCTGAGCGTGGTTCTGGTTGGAGAGAATCCTGCAAGTCAGTCCTATGTCCTCAACAAAACCAGAGCAGCTGCCAGCGTGGGTATGTGTCACTCTCAGAGCCCAACTACTGTTAAATTGAGATTTAATCTGAGGCAAATTCTATTATAACTTATGATTCTTTTTTCTGCTTAGAAAACCCAAACAGAGGAGGCTAATGTCATTCAACTGAATCCAAATATTTGTCAGAAAGAAATCAGGCTGTATGTTGGGGAGGAGGTTTATAGACTAGGACTGGAGGAATATGGTTGGTTTCTTGGTGTCTTCTGGAATGTAATCTAAATTCTGTTATAGTCTAACTTTGATAAGTGACCTTGAACACCATTTACATCTGCTTTCCTCAACTGAGCAATGAGTCTGTGACTAAAGTATTTGAGCATCTGGTCGAGGAGACCTCAGTGATGTGGCCTAGAATAGTCTTGGATTTGAAGGAAACGACTCTGGCTTCTTTGAAATAGGCTGTGGTTTCTCCACCAATGGGTTCCAAAGCCAATTAAATCATACAGTTTAGACGTGTTTGAAGGTTTGGATGCAGAAGGAGCAGGTCTGAGTGATGGGAGGTCTCACTGTACTGAAGACTGTGTGGCCACAGATCAGAGGTGAATAGGCTCAGTTGTGCCCCTGCCTGCCTATCTGTGGGCCAGTGGTCTGAGCACTGTGCGCCTGCCCTTCTGAAGGGCTGTGAAAGCACTGCACCATGAGCCCATGGCGTACTCTGCTCTTTATCACTGAGGACTGAGGCCTCCTGCCCTCTTCATTGAAAAACCTTTAGGGTTCCCCGAGTAGCTCAGTGGTAAAGAATCTACCTGCTAATGCAGGAGACACAAGTTCAGTCCCTGATCTGGGAAGATCCCATGTGCCATGGATCTGCTAAGCCCAGGCACCACGACTATTGAGCTTCTCCACAAGAGAAGCCTTGTTGCAGTAGCCTGGAGAGCAGACCCCACTGACCGCAACTAGGGGAAAGCCCACGCAGTAACAAAGACCCAGCATGTCCAAAAGCAACTATAAACACAATTGTAAAAGAAAACCCTTTAGAACCTCCTGAAACTGGTAAGCTGTGGCTTTCTGAAACTTTGGAATGGGAGGTAGCATGGTATAGTGGAAAGAACATGGACTTTGGAACTGCAAAGACTGGCTTTGTTACTAGCCGGCTTATGTTTCGGTTTCTCTGAGCCTTGTCTATAAGATGAGGTTAATGAAGAATTGATGCTTTTGAACTGTGGTGTTGGAGAAGACTCTTCAGAGTTCCTTGGACTGCAAGGAGATCCAACCAGTCCTGGGTGTTCATTGGTAGGACTGATGTTGAAGCTGAAACTCTTAATACTTTGGCCACCTGATGTGAAGAGCTGACTTATTTGAAAAGACCCTGATGCTGGGCAAGATTGAGGGCAGGAGGAGAAGGGGACGACAGAGGATGAGATGGTTGGATGGCATCACCAACTCAATGAACATGGGTTTGGGTNGATCCCTGGGTTGGGAAGATCCCCTGGAGAAGGGAAAGGCTACCCACTCCAGTATTCTGGCCTGGAGAATTCCATGGACTCTATAGTCCATGGGGTCGCAAAGAGTTGGATACAACTGAGTGACTTTCACTTTCACTTCCTTCTTTTTTGTCCTGCTCTCGTATCCATACATGACCACTGCAAAGACCATAACCTTGATTATACAGACCTTTGTTGGCAAAGTGATGTCTTTGCTTTATAGCATACTGTCTAGGTTTGTCATAGCTTTCCTCCCAAGAAGCAACTGCCTTCTAATATCATGGCTGCAGTCACCATCTGCAGTGATTTTAAAGCACAAGAAGAGGAAAGCTGTCACTGCTGCCACTTTTCCCCTTCTATTTGCCATGAAGTGATGGGAACGGATGCCATGGTCTTAGTTTTCTTAATATTGAGTTTTAAGCTGGCTTTTTTACTCTCCTCCTTCTCCCTCATCAAGAGGCTCTTTAGTTCCTCTTTACTTTCTGCAATTTAAGTGGTATCATCCACATATCTGACGTTGTTGATATTTCTCCCAGCAATCTTGATTCCAGCTTATGCTTCATCCAGCCTGGCATTTTGCATGATGTATTCTGTGTATAAGTTAAATAAACAGGGTGACAGTAAACAGCCTTTCTCAGTCCTGACCCAGTCAGTTGTTCTATGTCTGGTTCTAACTGTTGCTTCTTGACTTGGGTACAGATTTCTCTGGAGGCAAGTAAGATGTTCTGGTATTCCCATCTCTTTAAGAGTTTTCCACAGTTTGTTATAAGCCACACAGTCAAAGAAAGTCTTTAGCATAGTTAATGAAACAGAGATAGATGTTTTTCTGGAATTCCCCTGCTTTCTCTGTGATGAGTGAATGTTGGCAGTTTGAACTCTGGTTCCTTTGCCTTTTCTAAACCCAACTTGAACATCTGAACGTTCTCAGTTCATGTAGTGCTGAAGCCTAGCTTAGAGGATTTTGAGCGTAACCTTACTAGCATGGGAGATGAGTGCGATTGTCCAGTGGTTTGAACATTCTTTAGTACTGCCCTTCTTGGGAATTGGGATGAGGACTGACCTTTTCCAGTCTGTGACCACTGCTGGGCTTTCCAAATTTGCTGACATATTGAGTGCAGCACTTTAATAGCATCATCTTTGAAGATTTTAAGTAGTTCTGCTGGAATTCCATCACCTCCATTAGCTTTATTGGCAGCAGTGCTTCCTAAGGGCCACTTGAATTCACACTCCAGAATATCTGGCTCTGAGTAAGAGACTACACCATGGTGGTTATCCAGGTCATTAAGATCTTTTTTGTACAATTCTTCAGTGTATTCTTTCCATCTCTTCTTGATTTCGTCTGCTTCTATTAGGTCTTTACCATTTCTGTCCTTTATTGTGGCCATCTTTGGATGAAATGTTCCTTTGATATTTCCACTTTTCTTGAAGAGATCTCTAGTCTTACCCTTTCTGTTGTTTTCCTCTGTTTCTTTGCATTGTTCATTGAAGAAGGCCTTCTTGTCCCTCCTTGCTATTCCCTGGAACTCTGCATTTAATTGGTATCCCTTTCCCTTTCTCCCTTGTTTTTTGCTTCTCTTCTTTCCCCAGCTATTTGTAAAGCTGTGGTATGTATGCATATATCCTCTCTTTTTTGGATTTCCTCCCCATTTAGGTCACACAGAGTGTTAAGTAGAGTTCCCTGTGCTATACAGTTGTTCTTGTTTAGTCACCAAGTCATGTCCACCTCTTTGCAACCCTGTGGACTGTAACACGCCAGGCTCCTCTCTCCATGGAATTTCCAAGGCAAGAATTCTGGAGTGGGTTGCCATTTTATTCTCCGGGGGATCTTCCCTACCCTGGTGTCAAACCCACATCTTCTGCATTGGCAGTTTGGATTCTTTACCACTGAACCACCAGGGAAGCCCTGTGCTATATAGTAGGTTCTCATTAATTATCTATTTTATACAGACCACCTTACTTGCCTCCTGAGAAATCTGTATGCAGGTCAAGAAGCCACAGTTAGAACCAAACATGGAACAAGGGACTGTTTCCATGTTGGAAAAGCAGTATGACAAGGCTGTATATTGTCACCCTGCTTATTTAACTTATATGCAGAGTACGTCATGTGAAATGCTAGATTGGATGAAGTACAAGCTGGAATATAGATTGCTGGGAGAAATATCAGTAACCTCAGATATGCAGATGACACTGCCATTATGGTGGAAAGTGAAGAGGAACTGAAGAGCCTCTTGGTGAAAGTGAAAGAGGAGAGTGAAAAAGCTGGCTTAAAACTCGATATTCAGAAAACTAAGATCATGGCATCCGGTCCCATCACTTCATGGCAAATAGATGGGGAAACAATGAAAACAGTGACAGACTTTATTTTCTTTGGCTCCAAAATCACTGTGGATGGTGACTGCAGCCATGAAATTAAAAGATGCTTGCTTCTTGAAAGAAAATCTATGACAATCCTAGACAGCATATTAAAAAGCAGAGACATTACTTTGCTGACAAAGGTCCGTCTAGTCAAAGGTATGGTTTTTCCAGTAGTCATATATAGGTGTGACAGTTGGACCTTAAAGAAAGCTGAACACCAAAGAATTGATGCTTTTGAAAGGCTCTTGAAAGTCCCTTGGACTGCAAGAAGATCAAACCAGTCAATCCTAAAGGAAATCAGTCCTGAATATTCATTGCAAGGACTGATATTGAAGCTGAAGCTCCAATACTTTAGCCACCTGATACAAAAAACTGTTCTCATTGGAAAAGACCCTGATGCTGGGAAAGATTAAAGGCAGGAGGAGAAGGGGATGACAGAGGATGAGATGGTTGGATGGCATCACTGACTTGATGGACATGAGTTTGAGCAAGCTCCAGGAGCTGATGATGGACAGGGAGGCCTGGCGTGCTGCAGTCCATGGGGTCGCAAAGAGTCAAACACACAACTGAGCAACTGAATTGAACTGACTGTATATATGTAAATCCCAACCTCCCAATTCATTCCACATCCCCTTTCCTCTGCTTGGTATCCATAGGTTTGTTCTCTATGTCTGTGTCTGTACTTCTGCTTTGCAAATAGTTTCATCTATACCATTTTTCTATATTCCACTTATATGCATTGATATGTAATATTTATTTTTCTCATCCTTCCTGACTTCCTATGCTAGTCTCTAGGTCCATCCATACCTATACAAATGGCACAGTTTTTTTCCTTCCTGTGGCTGAGTAATATTCTGTTGTATATTTGTGTCACATCTGCTTTTTCCATTCCTCTGTTGATGGCATTTAGGTTGCTTCCATTTCCTGCCTGTTGTAAAATATGCTAAGTTCCTTCAGTTGTGTCTGACTCATTGTGACTCTATGTACTGTAGCCCCCCCCAGGCTCCTGTCCATGGGATTCTCTAGGCAAGAATACTTCCCTACTCAGGGATCGAATCCACATCTCTTACATCTCTTGCGTTGACAGGCAAGTTCTTTACCACTAGCGCCACCTGGGAAGCCCACCTATTGTGAATAGTGCTGCATTTGGTCACATTGTAAATAGTGTATCTTTTGAAATTATGCCCAGGTATGGAATTGCTGG